ATAAACGGTTCACAGTTGACTTGGGGAAGGTCCAAGACCTCCATGTTTTACTTCCATTGCTTGGCCTTGTGTCAAGGCCCCCTGATAAGAACTAGACAACACATTTATGAAATTCGCAGCCAGCCAAAATTTGGAAGAATAGCAAAAAGATTACCAAATAAAAATGAAAAAAATTTTAGACGTGAAATTAAACAACTCTAAATGTAAACCAAGAAAAATATAATAGAAAACATTTTTTAGAATTTCCTATTGTTTTAAAGTGTATTATAGGCTTGCATTTAATCTAAATAAATTACTTAGATCTATTAATCTAAAGAAATCATTATATTTGTATTTTCTTAGTCTTTTTTTTTTGCTTTTGCTTTTTTTTTTTTTCAAGACAAGATCTTACTCTTTTACCCAGGCTGGAGTGCAGTGGTGCAATCATAGCTCATTGTAACCTCTTACTCCTGGCCTCAATCAATCCTTCTGCATTGGCCTCCCGAAGTGCTGGGATGACAGACATGAGCCACCTCACCTGGTCTGTATTTTTAAGGCATGTCCAGCTATGTGGGGGCACACATGGAGTTCTTTAAATAGTAGAAACACGTCTGTGGTTTTCCAGAAGTTCAAGAGAACATTCATTTGTTTGTTAAAAAAAAACTCTAAATACTTACTATGGACCAGGCACTGTGTGATATACTAGGACTTCATTTTTTCTTTTTCTAAATCAATGAGACGTGTTTTCTGCCTATTAGAAGTACAGTCAAGTGCAGAGATTTGCCCATGGACACACTTAGTTTTAAAAAGATTTAAACAAATTTTGGCCAACATTTAAAAAACAGTAGATTTCATATACAAAGCCAGATTTCTGTCTCATTTAAAAAACATAATGGAAACGCTGGCTACAGAAGGCATCAATTGCATGTGGTTACAACTGGCTGGGGGTGAAATGCTGCTTCTCCTTTAGCCCTTTGGCAGAGTCCACACCACTCCCTGTTGCCTTCCTTTGGCAACCAGTGTGTCCATGGTAGTGGTTGGGTAGGAATTGGACAAAGAATAAAAAAGAGCATGCGCAAGCTATATTGCACCCATTTTATTAAGCCCAATTGCAGGAATATTCTAGAATTAAAAATATGAAAGTATTTTTTCCAGTAGTGGGAATGAATAATAATTGGTTTTAGGAAAGTTAGTCTAAATTTGGGAGATAATTTGAAAGAGACCATGTGTCAAGTACATCAATGACAAAAAGAATCATTCCATGCAAAATAAGCCTAGAACAAGTTCTTCCCTCATTCTCTTGGTGTGAATGTTTGGAAGACTCAATATTGAGCTAAACGCAGTGCACCTAAGTGTGTGAGCTCAGTACAGCTTGGTAACTTACAATCCTGCAGGCAAGGCTAGAGAGAGTATCTTTGTGGAGTTCTCATGTAATGCAGACACCCAAGGCCAGTGCACTCCCCAGAGAGGAGGCCCATACACCCCACATTCTAGTGGACATAGCTCTTGGCTTTAAGGGAAGCCCATTTGAGAGAGAAGGGGGTACTTTGGCAATAGGCTTGGAACCTGTTGGGCAAGCTCTAGAGTGGGAAATGCTGGCTAAGGACCTCTCTTGCTGGAATTGTAATGCAACTTCATTAAAGGCTGTGAATTTAAAGGAAGAACACCCATTTTTTTTTTTCCAATACTATTGAGCTTTAAAGGAGAAAGGACAGAAGAAGAGGGGAGTGGTACATAAAGATTATAACAAGTTTGTCTATTTTAAAAAGATTGCTCTGGGCTGGGCATGGTGGTTCATGCCTGTAATCTCAGCACTTTGGGAGGCCAAGGTGGGAGAATCGCTTGAGGCTGGGAGTGCAAGACCAGCATTGGCAACATAGCAAGACCTCCCTCTCTTAAAGAATGGGAGACTGAGGCAGGAAAATCATTTGAGCCCAGGAGTTCAAGGCTTCAGTGAGGTATGGTTGCTCTACTGCACTCTAGCCAGCCTGAGCAACAGAGCAAGATCCTGTTTCTTTAAAAAAAAAAAAAAAAAGATTGCTCTGAATAAATATATCATCATGAGTTATCCTTATAAAATTAATTATTACCAGCAAAAAGTATGTTCTGAATAAGAAAGGCACAATGAAAAGTTTGTAGTTATTTTGAGATTGCTTCCAAAGGCATGCAGGGCAGGGAGGACATTGGCTCATTGGGTTATCTAGCTGGGGATTCTCGCAAAGATTGTTGGCTGGTGAATTTAGCCCATAATCATGTACTCCGTAGGAATTTCACAGCACACGACAGCTGTGTGGCACATCTGTTGGAGATCCACAAACTCAGTTTCACAAGCATTAGTTGGGAAAGACTCAGCTTGGCACTAGTTCTGTCAAAAGCCCTGGGTGTTTGCATTGAGTGCAAATTTAATATACTGTAAGTTTAATGAAATGTTAGTCTTCATCATGGAATGGAAACATCTGGTTCTGCTGTAAGTTGAGCTTTTCAAACTACACTTGAATATTGGTCATTTTAAGAAAGACATTGAAAATTAGAATTTGTTCCTAAGAGGGTAGTCAAGAAGAACTCAGAAATTATGACATGGGAAATGGTTGAAAGAGCTAGAGATGACAGGTCTCCAGTTTAACTTGAACAGAAGACTAGGGAGGGAGATGCTGTAGTTATGTTCAGATACACAAATGCAGGGCCTGTAAAACAACATCTGAAGTTTATGTCTGTTGAATAAACAAAAGAATGAAAAGAGAGTAAAGGCGTGTGTGTGTGTGTGTGTGTGTGTGTGTGTGTGTGTGTGTGTTGGGTGTGTATTGTTTTCCAGGGAAGTACGAAAACACACGATGAAAATTATAGTGACAGAGGTAGATTTAAAACACCATAAAAAAAAGTTACTGGTTGTAACAACCAGTGTTGTTTAAGGAGGGACAGGGCATTTTACAGATTAGGAAGGATTCGAGAAGAGGCTGAATGGCCCCGTATTAGGGATTTATAAGAAGATCACCTGCACGCAACGGTAAACTCAATTCTTGAGAAGTAGAATAAATGGAAAGATGAGGCCTTTGGAGTCAGAGAGACCTGGGAGCAAATTATATATCTTTGCCACTTAGCTGCGTGACTTTAGGTAAGATACCTAGCCTTTCTGAGTATTGGTTTTTCCATTTTGTTAGATGCGGATAATAAAACCCACGTTAAAAATGTTATTGTGAAAATTAACTGAGCAGATGAATGTAAAGTCCCAGAAAGAGAGTGGGATCTGGATAGATATTAGTTGAATTCTGCTAGATTAAATGGCACCCAAAGTAGCAAGAGAGTGTTTTATTAACAGAAATTATTGTAAGGCAGTCACTTAGCAAGTTCGTTAGATTTACTCCGTCACTTTTGTTTCTTCAGAGCCTGACACAGGGCAGGCAGAGGACAGCTGCTCGGCATGTGTTGGCACATTTGTTGACTTTATTGTCAGTACTCTGGCTAAGTCAGGGCCCTAGAAACAGGCTCTCAGTGTGGCTGCATGGCCAATGGAGACAGTGTTTGTAGCAGGAGAAAAGTAGGTTTTGGTATCAGACAGAAGCTCAAATCCCAGTTCACCCCTGGGTGAAGTTACCTAACCTTTCCAAGCTGCCTTTCTCTCTCTCTCTTTTTTTTTTTTTTGAGACAGAGTCTCACTCTGTTGCTCAGGCT